ACGGATGAATCAGGCTGAATGTCAGGTGAATTTAAGAAACATGTGCTGATCTGTGGGCTGCAGTGAAACTGAGTCTGGATGTAAATTAAATGTAGAACGATGACAAACCTCCGGTTAGAATCACACTGATCCTGCGGGTCAGACGGTCACAGCTGAAGCCAATCTAACTTATAATGAAGCGATGCGCTGATAAGTAAACGAACACTAGTGCCTAGCACACTTCCGGAAAGTTTGTTTCAAAATAAATGTATGCAGTTTCTCAACATATTTTAATCTTTACATTTGTAAACCATTTGTAATTTTATTTTTATTTTAAATGGATACATGTAGCATCAAACCAAGATACACAAGAAAAGCACAAACACAAGGTGTTTTTTAAAATAAACAATTCTGCCTTTCTTTTGAGGCTTTTATGGACATAGAAAATATGAATTAATACAATATTACATGAATTTGAATATACAAAATAACATGTAAACATATACTTTTTGAACAATTGAGATTATTACAATAATTTTTATTATGTTGTAAGGTAATTCAATCAGGATTAATGTATGTCTTGTTTGCTATAAACAATTTTGTCTTGGTCGTTAAAAAGTTTGTGTAAACATAGAATGCAATTTTGTCTTGGCCATTAAAAAGTTTATATAAACATAAAATGAAAAAACTTAAAAGGAAAGTGAATTAATTTAGCTTTTGTTTAAAAAGGGAGGTTTGGAAAAAAACTTAAAAGTAAAGTGAATTAATTTTGTTTAAAAAACGGAGGTTCGAATATTACTACATACTTTACTATGAAATCAGAATGACTGTACCTCCTGTGGATCTCAGTGTTACTGTTCCACTTGACCTGGGTCCGTGCCCAGGAGGCCATCAGCTGATCCTCTATTTGGTATCATAAGACTGTGGGCTGTACGCAAGTTATTTATTCACACACACACACAGACTGCTGTGACGCAGTCAGTCATTCAGTCTATATGGAGTTACACAAACACACGTGGGTTTTATGGGTTCTTTTTAGTTGCTTATCTTAAACCTAAATATTACAAAATATGACTAATCCTAACCCAGTTTCATTTAATATTTACAAAAAAACAAAAAAGCTTTAAGGGAAAAATTCACTCAAATTTCTGTTGTATATTTGGACAGAAGAGGGCGCCACATGCCCACTTTTCCCTTCAGCCTCTCTCTCGTTCATGCACACGCGCGTACATGCACACGCACATATGTTTAGAACCTTTGTGCCTTTATTTTTGTCGAATTATATCGGTCTTTCTTTCGGTCATTATACAGTATGACGTCATCTTTTCTTTTTTTTTTTCCCTGTAACAATAAGTGGTAAAAGTTATGGTTATATCTTAGTTTTCTACAAAAATAGTTGAATGCTATTTTTAAAAAAAACAAAAAACAATCATAATAACAGTTCAAAATTATTATAAATATCAAGAATCAAATCTTTTTTAGTAAGAAAAAAGTAATAACAAAGTCAAATGTAAGTACATTAATTATATTGTTATTTGAAAAAATATTTTGTCTGCCTCACATTCGGGCTGCTTCAGACTGGTTTGGTGAAATAACTTTCATCTCCATGTCATTATGTGATTATATTACAGTGAATTCTTATTCTATCACTGGGCAAATGAGTATGAGACCATCAATAATTCAGCTGTGGGTATAGACACACGGTGTGTTCTCATACTGTGAGGAGGCTGTGAGGAGCTAAAGAACCTGAGGTCACCTGCAGACTGAAATATTTTTTTAATGTTCTCAGAATCAGTCCCTTTATTCTTTGCCAGCTTCTATTCTTCACCTCATAATAAAGGCTCAGCATGCGAGTGCGAGTGTGTGTGTGTGTGCGTGTGTGTTTCCTTACCCTTTGATCCCCTCTCAGTTTGGCTCAGCAGGGGATTCATCACTGTGGGTGTATTACACTCAGGTGAATGATAAATGTTGACAGAAACCAGGCTCCTGGACGTGAAGCCGCTCACATTGTACATCATTTCAACACAACTTTCTGTTTCATTTCAACACGTCAGATTCAAACAATAGACTGTAAAACCGAGAGCCCAGAAAGAAGACGAGGCGTTGGGTTCCACCACCGGGCCTCCATGTCAAAGGTTGCAAAAACATTTTCAGTCTGAATGGAAGTTCACAGGGAGGTCAGGGCTTTTCCTCATTTTTCACATTATAACACTATAAAAAAAGAAAATGAAATATTTACTACTGACTTAAGTTGTTCTTTAATTCACAATAATGTAAAATATATAAATTATGATAAACAGTATATGTTTATATATATATATCATAAAATTATATTAACCTGTGCTTCTCAAAGTGTAACCTTAGTCAGTTTTTTCAAATTGAAATTTGAAAGCACAGTGTGTAGAATGTCCTTTTTTGTGGGTGAATATTTCTCATCATCACTGTAGTTGAAGGATGAAGTAGAATAGAATGTGAAAAAGAAAACAAACAAAAAAATACTTTCACTCAAACCATTTCATCTAAACTTTACCTACTGTAATTGACTTTATATAGAAAGGTACAAATAAAGGATATGGACTTTATTTTAGCCAAAAAGAGCAAAGATAGAGATGATGCCAGATCAGTCTGGCACCATTGTTCTATTATTGACTGCATTTGTTTTCACAGCTCCTCACAGGTGAAGATAATTAAATAAACAATACATTTTCATGGAGATTTTTTTTTATTTGTATTTTTGTCACTGTTTAAACCAGTTTAAACAAACAAGAATAAAAATAACAATTTAGCAATTAAAGATGTTTCTTAAAATAACTGATTTTTGAATTAATCTTCAATGAATTGATTAATAAAAGAACAGTTTTTAATTTTGTAAACGAGAGAGATTTTTAGAAAGCCCCTGCAGGCCAGCAGCGGTACTACACTTGAGACTACCTTTTCTTGTTGGCTTAAATCTGAAAAGGACTTCCATGTTTGATATATTTTGTTGCTGTTCAATGTGTTGCATAATTTTGTACATCAAGTCTTTATTTTGAAAGATAGGAATCAAATCTAACTCTATCCTGCAGAATATGTCGTGATGCTTTGAATATAACCATCTGAAAACATGGCCTCGTTCACATCAGCTTCTTATCAACACATATTCAAAGCAGCATCTTTGGTGGTCTGCACATGTCCACGCCAAACCTGCTTATCCAGACTTACTCACTTACTTTGGTTTCATCTGGTCAAAGCATGTGCTGCCAATCCCGTCCAATTTTGTATTTACTGGCCCACTTTAATCTTGTTGGAGTTCATCCATTAAGCCGGACTCAGTGTGATGTCAAGCCAAACGTCTGATCAGTCCCTGCTTTTCAACCCACAGTTTTGGGAATGGATCATTTTGTGTAGCAGCGGTCTGTTAAAACAGTATTTGAAATTTGAATCACAGTAAAGGTGAGAAATTACCCCTGCAGCGGAGGGCAATTATTTCCTGCTTCAGGAATAACCAATCAGAGAGTATGGAGATGAAGCTATGCACCACTTTTTTCATATAGTGGTAGTAATAATAATAATATAAAAAGAATTATTATTATATAACAGGACATATTCTTCTTCTTATTATTACTAATATTAGTAGTAGTATTATATAGTAGTAGTAGTAACATTAATATTAGTATCGCTGTTGCCCCTCCCGACTAGATACAGGATGTTCATATAGAAAATGCCTTCATTGCTTTAATGTGAAAGTCTAGACCGGAAGCTGTATGTCTTTGTCTAACTTGACACTGGTCCCAAGTTGTGTGTCAGGCAGACGGGACTGTGCGCTGCGCGGAGACGGGAGACACTTCACCCGGCACACGGAGTGTGTGCTGCTGTCCTCCTCACTGCTCTCTCTGACTGTTTCTCTCTCTCCGTTTCTCTCGGTCCGTGTTTGGCTCTCAGTCCGAGGACGTGTCCGCGTTGGACCGTGGGTGTGGACGCTGACACTCTGGACTCGGTGCATGAACGGACCTTTTTTTTTTTGAAGAATACCTGATGCTGCATCTGCACACGCACAGCGCATAGAGAGCGCAGGACCTCTCCCCCTCACACCAGGTAAGGTGGGCTCACACTCACGCACGATTGCGCGTGTACGCACACGATGTCAGGTTTTTCCACGGCAATAACTTTGAGAGTCTGCAGGGATTTTCATTCATTTTACCGCGCCGACCAAAACCTCATTCACATTCTTATAAGTGATGCTCCACCACATTCAGGACTAGATGTTCTTCATGAAGACCAGGGAGCCTCCAGAAAACTGAAATCTTTAGAACAAAACAGAGTCCTATAGAGGTTACAGAGACATAACCAATGAAGAAAAACAAAGATGAAATGAAACTGTTGTGTAATCGGATCTGATTATTTTCCTAAGTGACAACCTAATATGTTGTACTGTAATGCAATTAATCTACTCTAATAGGTTACAATGTAATTCAAGACAATGGATAGTGTAAAACTGTATAACGATCCATTCTTTTTACGATTATTGTAATTAAAATTATATTTTTACTCAGTTTCAATCCATCAAATTAGATCTAATCTAATCTGATCTGATCTGATCTAATCTGATCTAATCGATCAGCTTCGGTCTTTCCTTTCAACAGAGGTTGTGGCAGCAAGTGGTTTTTCACTTGTGCTGAACTGGGATTAGGTTGAATAAAAATGTTGGAGTGCTAAATCAGAAATAGAATTCCAAACTATGGAAAGGGTTTAAAAAATACTTTAACTAATTTAATCCAGTCTGTGTCAGTTAAACATAATCCAATTTTACATATGTTTGTTTGCTCAAATGTAATGTACTGCTATTCTTCTTCTTATTATTATTATTTAATGAAACCGTATCTGATCTGATCTAATCTAATTTAATCTGGTCTCATCTGAAGTGTACACGGTTCTCTAATATGAACTGATTTATACATAATAATTTAAATAAACAAACAACATAAGATCCTTTTTCAAGGTGAAAAATAACCTGTAATCTAATCTAATCCATCCTCACTGTATGGATCACGCTCTCTCAGATCTATTCAAGTTAAAATAAAAACATACATTAATTAATGATTATCTTCTTGATAATAATAATGATGTCTTACAGTTAAGACGTTGGTGCAGCAGATCTGTTCGCTGCTACAGCGTCTTACACCGACACTGGTACTTCACTGACCAGTAGAGGGTTCCGTCAGTGCTGCGCAGGTCTCATCCTGTACTGCTTCAACTCAGTGGTTTCTCTCAGCCTTCACGGCTTCTCCGTCTTGGAACGTAACATTTTCAAAAAACATTTTTCAAAATAAATCAACAGTTGAATATTTCTCTGAAATTTTCCAGACATGGTTGTGGTTCGATTCTCTCAACTCATAACATTCAAAGTCATTGACACTCAATCTGTTCCCCTGACTCACACCGACTGATCAAGACCCCAAGAAGTCCCTCAGCAAAAGTCTGACTTTCAGCAGACTTTCTTACCTCAAAGTGTTATGGTTCTAATCAATGTTCTGTTTAATGAGTTCTGCTCACTTTCTCTTCAAAGGCCGGGGCCGATGCTGACGTAAGGACAATTCCTGATGAAGATGGAATCATCTATACGCTGCAGGGCCGTCCTCATCTTCTTCGTGCTGTCTTCTGTCAAGGTACGGCGGAAATGAGTAAACAGACGATTAGTCACGTCCACCTGTCCCTCTGGGCGAGTGGGAAAATGAGGTTTAAAAGCCGATTGGGTTAAAATGTGCAGCTTAGAAGAGCATCAGATTAATTGAGGTAATTATCAACTATAGCCGAGGTCACTGTTAGTGGAGATTGACATTTAAATCCATGTTGAAATGACCTTTCGGTCAAAGGGGACGGTGATTGTTGGTTGTGAACGTGGAGGACAAAAACAAGATTTACTCCTCTCTCTGAGTAGATGATGCGTGAGTCGATGTTTGGTCTCGATCAGGCGTGGGCAAACTTTTTGACTTGCGGGCAACAAAATTGTGGCCCGCCTTACTTTGCCCATGTCTGGTCAAGGAGAAGCTGCATCTTCTCATCGACTAGGGAATGAAATAAATGTGGACCTTATTTGAAAAAAAGCCTGCGAGGTTTCACACCGTGTTGGTATTCTCTCTGCAGCTGCCGTCTGGCCTTTTGCTAAATTTGATCAGATGTGCTCAGATCCAACAGTTTGCATGTGAGGGATATGAGTTTGAGCAGGGAGTCGACTCGCAGACACACACATGCTGTACATCTGCATGAATCCAATGAACTCACCTCAGTTACAGTACGGAGGACAGGATTTTCTCCCGGCAAATATAGCAGCTACTTAATCCCTGACAACAGACTGCTGAGGGCCTGGTGTTCTCCACCATCAGCTCAGCAAATGTCTTTATTTGGATCATGTTTCTTTAGTAAAAGAGGGGGAAAAAGAGCGCACGCTGACATATTTATGGGCTGTTTATATATTTTGTTACTCACTTCCTGACTGGGCCTCATCATTTAGAGGAGAAGGATTTTTCTGTAGCGTCTATTTCCAGGAAGCTGGTCCTGTGAACCTTACGGGGGTTTGGACGGTGACTTGTTTTCTGGGAATTTAAATTAGAATTTCTTTACAGCTTCTATACCTGGGATGAATGAAACACTGGTAATATTGATTTATTTATCTGTACAAACCATTGTATGAGTATGAGATTAATTAAATGAGCTGCAATGCTGCCATCTAGTGATGTTCACTTTGATATGCAGCCTTTTGTCCCCAAAACAATTTTTAGCACACATCATTTGGCGAAACCCAGGCTTTGAGTTATCGGGTTTTCATTATCTGCGGAAAAACCGATAACGGTTCTTACAGATATTACATAATTATGTTAATATCAGGCCGATATTATTGGTCGGCCGATATTATCGGACATCCCTAATTATTACAACACCAGTTAAAAAAAAGAAACCATATGGTTACTTGGTAGAGCTGTGGTTCCCAAAGTGAGGGTTGGGGCCACATAGTGGAGCATAGCAATGAATTTCAACTGCAATATTTTCTTCATTTGTTTCAGTGGGAAAATTGCAGTTTTATTGTAATTTTCTTCCATGTGTTTTATAAAAATAAAAGTTCACAGGATAACACTGTTCAACTTAAAGTTTAGCAATGTGTTTTATAAAAATAAAAGTTCACAGAATAACACTGTTCAACTTAAAGTTTATTTTTAAAGCTATAGTAGTTAACGTTTTCACTCCAGGGGGCGCTGGGTTGTCTTGATGGTAGCTCTCTTCCCAAAAGGATGGTGCGTTAGAGTTTGATAACCACGGAGTGCACAGTAATTCCCAAAAATTCAAAGCCAAACACATAGAAATTAATTTATTGATGAACTTTAACGACCAAAGAAACGAGGACAAGAAAAAAGTCCTGGGATTGAACCAGTGAACTAGTCGATTTCTTACCGTAAGGCCAAAGCCTTCCAGCCGAACCATTTTCCTGACCATGATAATATACTTTTTTTCTTTAAATGGCCTCTACAAACCTTAGCATAATAAAAAAAAAACCCTATGAGATGTGGTACAGCAGGAGATTTCCATCGTTTTAGTGTTTGCAGCTGAAAGTCTAATATGAACCGAAATATTTTCCAGCATCTCGTTGAATCGGGCACTTCCGAAGACATTTGCTTGAATATAATTTGATTGGCAAGTGCTGGCGCTGCCGCCTGGAATTTTCAGCATTAGCTTTTTCACTGCAGATTATCTGTGCCTGACTCTGCCCCATGTGTTTCCCCGGCTCCACATTGTGCCACCGTGACACACTCGTACATGCTCGAAATTCCTGAGGTGATATTTCCAATGGAACTGTAGGCACACTGTCACTGTTCCGGTTTTCACAGTGTTATTCAGTCCCTCGTTTTCAGTTTTATTTCTGGACCGTTAATGTGTGTGACAGGCTTATCTGCATTCAGTGCTGCCGTGCTGCTGGCACCCTGCTTCCCTCAGCCGCTGAGCCTTTTCACACTCAGTCTTCCCGAAATCTCGACGAACAAATTATCTGAGTTTTACACTTTGCTGGTAATTAATCTTAAAAGCAAATAATCTCCCATGAAAATGTCGAACATTTTTCTAAGACCAGAAAATTATTATTTTTCAATTTTAGTCCCAGTTCGGGCAGCAGTATATCACTCAGTATTATATTACTGCAATAATAGAATTTTTCCAAGTGCCGTGTGGTGTAATAAATTCCAATTATAAAGTAATCATGTTTCAATTTCTAAGAAAAGCTTTATTTTCCTGTTTTTGGTCTTTGAGACTCCGAACACCGAACGTAGGTGAGTCTAAGAGTCAGCTACAAAGACAAGACTGTTCTGTCTGAATAATAGCACTCTTTTCTGTTCAGGTTACTGGAGCCCTCATGAATCATTCCTGCAGACTGTTCAAAGTATTTTCAAAAAAGTTGATCTACTTTTTAAGAAGGCAATAAAACATCTGCACCTTTTTAAATGTAGTTCATCCATGTGGGATTATTTTTATTTTTTTATTTTTTTATAGCAACTGTGGATATTGAAAAGACTTGAGCTGCTGAACAGTCTGTGGTCAGTGTCATGGTTCACCTCTTGTTGAAGTTCCAGACATTTGATCAATATCGCACATCTGGACTGCAGGCAAACCAGTGATATACAGCAGAACTACTTCTGTCTACAGAGCCACGCTTTTAGTCAGACTCAGAACAAGAAGCAGCTCCGAAGGAAAGTCAAGGGTCAAATTGAACCTGCTTGGTAGTTTGTTAATATGTAGACCAGAAGTTTAAACCCCCGGCTCGAGGGCCACATCTGGCTCATGACTAAACTAATATTGCCCTAGAATAACAATAATAATAAAAAAAAACGTTTCAATTGTTGGTGTTTTTTAATTATTAAAATTAGTGAGCCTGATAATAATAAAAAAAAACGTTTCAATTGCTGGTGTTTTTTAATTATTAAAATTAGTCAGCATGAACTGGCGGCCTACAGGTCAAATCTGTCCACGACTGCATCCTAAAATAAACTATAAAAAATAATTCAGTTAGATAAGAATGTGTTTTTTTTGTATATTTTATGTCAGTGTCCAGCCCCCTGATGTGTCTGTCCAGGAAAATTCTGGCTCGCCGACAAATGTAGTTGTTGACCCCTTATTTAAATGTTTTATTGCACCGTTCGCAAAAAAATGTTTCATACTATTTTTATTTAATTTTTATATTCTATTTTTTTAACAAATTTTACTGTAGTTCTAGTTGGATATCGAGACATTCCTGCCCTGTCGTCCGACACAGAACATGTGTCAAAATGATCGACTGGTCAGACCAGTCATCTGGTCAGATCTGTTCATCTCTACATATAATATAAACTGGTATTTACCCAGATTTGTGTAGTAAAACCTGAGGAGGTGAATTCTGAGTCAAAAAGTCTACGACAGTCGAACTCAGCTTGAAAAAAGTCTTCCTTGATTCCCAGACTAATTGGCTTGCGTCTGAGCATATTAAATTAAAGCTTCTCTTCAGCCTCGTGCACCAACTCCCACCTTCTATCAGGTAGTTTGTCTTCACTTTATGATTTATTCATGTTCAACAACTCAGAGGAATCTTTTTCCTTCTTCTTTTTTCTTCTTCACATTGTTATGTGTGAATCCATCTCTCTGTACTGCCCCCTGCTCTCTACCACCTGCTCTAATAAGACGCAGCAGGGCCCACACATTATTAGCTGCTACATGAGAGGGTGAAGCCAGGTGAAGGTTTGTTTTTGTTTGGGTTTCTTCACTTCTTAAGAATTTAATGGATGACTGCAGTTCCTAGCACCTCCTACAGGGACATCACTGGAGCCAGTGAGAACGTGACAGGAGCAGATTCTTGCTGCTCTGTGACTGAACACTGGGAACAGCCACGTTTTGTGAACCATAACAATGTGTTCTTATCTGATCTGTGTTACACAACTTTACGACATTACACTAAAGGTTTTACTGCGTTCCTAACAACTCTGTCCTCACATCAGTCCACAGAAAGAAAAAAAACATTTGATGATTGCATGCAGTTTTTATACATTAAACAGAATTATCATCTTTAAAGTTGAGAGTTTGACAGGGATAGTTTTCAGCAAGACCAAACCTTTTATTTTTTGCAAAACAAGGAAAACAAACTTGAAACCTATAAATGTTTTTGAGTAGATCTCCTTCTTCCTGCCGTGTGGTGATTTTCCTGATGAAGTTGCTTCTTGATTTAACTTTGTTTGCGTTGCTTGTTTACCTGTTTGTGATCACAGAGAAACCCCTGGCGGAGGGTAAAACTGTAGCAAATGACTATGACAGTGAAAAGTCAATTGTTGTCAATCATACTGGGTGTTAAACAAACCTCTGTCCTCCAGAAATGGAGTGAAAAGCCATGCTTTGATACGCTACATTATGTATCTGTAGGTGTATGTGTGGGGAAGGGATGGAGAGTAAGGAGTAAGGGAGAGGGCGGGGGGGGTGGTGCTGCTGCTGGTGGTGTACAATATGAATCACATTGTCTTCTGCCTGTAGACATTGATCTTAATTTGCTGCATATCTTTTGCCAAATGACATCTCCCCACACCGTGCTCCACTGCAGCAGCTCCCACCTGCAGGCGGTGAATCCACATTAGCAGCACAGCCGTGACTGATGACGCTGTCC